CCGACTGGTATGTAAAAGCTCTCCCAAGCACGTGGCACCGCAGATTCAGCGGCCAACAGCGCGATGGCATGGCATCCAACGTCACCGTGGCATAGTCTTTTCAAGACAAATAATCCATGAAGTGGTGATAGCATCTGGGACAGAATCTCTGGCGACACATGGTGTGAGGTCGAGGAGATATCCCTGCGATCCGCCACAAGCAACAACCAAGAGGATAAGGTGTTCAGCTTCAACGACGATTTCTTTTCTGCGATCACCCTGCAAATGATCACCTTGGGCCGCCTCGGCAGTGCGTTAATTAGGACATACTTTTAGTTCGTTGGTTGACCATGTCAGTCGACTGCTTTTCATCAAGCAAAAGGAAAGACCTGTCGGCATGCACGACTGACAACCGCATCGCAGTCCTGGCAAGAATTAATAACTTCCAGAATAACCCCCAGAATAAGTTCTGATGCAGAGCAAGCATAAGGAGCTGGTAGCATCGGTGCAGCTATCGGAGCCGAGACATTGATTGCCACGTGGAAGTTCGACCAAGCGACCGGCCACACAAAGCAACGATTCAGCAGATTCAGCCCATGGATTCAGCCCAACGATTCAGCTAATGTTCTGGACCATGCCAACAAGTACTGTAGTACGCGACCTGGTATTTCGGCCCGAGCTTTTTGTGCTTTGGCGTGGATCGCAACGACGTGCATTGGCATGCGCGCCAGTTCAATTCCCGTCGCACGCACTCCCCCTACTTCCTTCATTTTCGTACATGCAAAGGTGGTGGTGAATTAAATGTCGAGATCGTCGTCGAGATCGTCGTCGTCCCAGTCCGGGTCGTCTTCGTCAATGTAGAAGAGTGCAGCTTTGGGCGCGCCCGACGACGACGACGACGATGTCTGCATGTAGGGCAGCTGGACTTGGTCTTTTGCTTTTTGATCCGTGTCCGAGATGCGCAGGTTGAAGCTCACATCCGGCGCGAGCGTCGACACCAAGTCCGACGGCTGCAAGGCCGAGGCGGGCTCGGACACATCATCCTTTGCTTCTTTCGTGGCATCACCCCACGCGAAGAGCTCCATCAAAGGACCGATAGCCGTGGGTAGCGGCAGCCGAAAGCAGTCGGTCGCCTCGGTCGACGTGCCATTCTAATGACATATGCCAGTGAGAGGAGGAGGAAGAGCATGGGTATCGATGCGTCTACTTTTATTTTGCGGACGAAGACAATGACGCCGTCCATCGTCGGAGGTACTGTGCGCTTGCTTTCCTTCGATAGAAAGTGGTACGCAGCGATCGACGCGGGTGTCTCGACCAGCATGAAGGCCGTTGCTTGCGCCTAATGCAGCATCCGATTCAACAGTCGCTGCAGGAGGACGACGTACTCGCAGCGCATGGACCACGTGCTTGGGATGCAGCGACGCATTGTAGCGACCGACAAGGCCAACGACGCCAGCAACTAAGAGGACATGATAAAGCACTGGACGATGCGGATGCGAAGGGCTACGAGAGAGCAGCGCGCGCAGCGACTGGAGCGCGATGTGAAACGAGCCGGCTTGAAGCAGCGGCGTGAGCGAGTCGAGGAAGAGGATCACGGGCGTGCCGCTTTGCGCAGCGGCTGCTGTGACGCTGGCGAGGACATTGGTCATGGCGTCGCCGGGCGCGAGCCAACCGCCAAGGTCGCCGGCAAAATTGAGCACCTCGACGCAGTCGTCGTCACTGGCTCGTGGCGCCATGTAGGTCTCCTATTGCCATGACACTGAGTATCCTGGCGAGGCGCTACAGCAGGACGTACAAGCTGGACGCGCAGGACGCGGACGTCGCCGGCGCCGGCCACGAGCGAGGCGGCGTGTTCCAGCAGCACGCGCCCGGCGCCGAGAGCGGCTTGATGCTCCTCGACCAAGACGAGGGCGGTCGCGCCGTCTGCTGGCGCCCGCGGCAGCTTGCGCTTGAAGAAGCTCTCGACGTCGCTCTCCTTCGTGGTCGGGCCGGCCACCATGCTCGGCGATTTCAATGCTTTCAATGATTTCAATGGTGCTTGTCTCAACCGCCGGTATAAAAAACAAAAAAACAAAAAATTGAAAATAAAAATATCGTCGACATCAAATCGTTTGCCACAGCTCTCAGCAAAGCCCACGCCAGAAGCGGAAGCACAGGCCACACCGCTCGCTCGCACAGCCTTGTCCGCTCCATACTGCAACGAGCACGCGTATACCACGATACCGTGCCGTTGCTGTCGGGACCTTATCCGAAAGCCGCACTCGAAACCTCTAAATCTTCGAGGCTTGGGCTCTTCATCTCCGGCATGAATGCCAGCCATACGCACCATACAACGCCAGCAACCCGCAGCTGCCATGTAGAAGCGATAGGACTCGGACACATCCGAGTTGACTGAGGTAGCAAGATTGCAGGCTAGCGTGGGCAGTGCTGGCCGCCTTGAACGGGTCACGAGATCGGGAATGTCGTCGTGGTATACCGCCCTACCCAGCAGCTGTACTACCGTCGGCGTAGGCTATATCAGCTGGTCCTTGCCGAGGGCGCCATCATGCACGGCCACCTTCCTTCTTGATCGACCAGCCAAAAATGACGTGGCACTCTCGTTGGCATGCGCCATACTTGGGTTCTATTTTTAGCCGCCGGTTGGCCACGACAAGCAAAAAATAGAACGCAAGCGGTCGCCCGATGGAGCAGGTGGCGTCGGCGCGGACGCAGGGGACGAGCAGCAGCCGCAGGTACCGCCGGCTCGCCTCGAAGGAGAGCGTCGACGACGCGCTCTTTGGCCGCAGCGTCGCATCGCGCGACGGCGACCGGTCGCGCCAGGCCGGGCGGTACATTTGCCTCGGCGAGACCATCCATCCCGATGCTGCTATGATGCCTAGGGACATTGTCCGTGGCAGCAGCAACCAAGAAGCTGAGCCGCCGGTGGCGAAGAAGAAGAACCTACCCACGACGATTGCGACCGTGCTGCCGCCGCACGAGCTCTCGCGCATCCGCGTACGTCGGCTTGCATGCTGTCCTCGCCAGCCTCATCGTTGCGCCGTGTACATAGGGCACGACGCGCATTCTCTCAGACGCTGAGCGCGAGGCCATGGCGGCGAAGAAGGAAGAGGACAATGAAAAGCTCAGAATACACGCCCGCGCCCGCAAGGTACTCCACCACCTTGTCCATCTGACGCCATTTTCACGGTCCGTGCTAGCAACACATGATGGAGCGGGCGGCCGAGGCGGCGACACGCGCGCCAAAGTCGGACATCGAACAGATCTTCGACGCTGAAAACGATGCGATCCGGAAGCGCGCGGCCATGCTCAAGGACCAGGCCCACGACAGCGTCAAGCTCATGAAGACGCTTGGTGCGCGGGCCGCCGCGTTCACCATCCGCGACGAGCAGATCAAGCGCAAGCACGAGATCGAGGAGGTCGAGGCCATGCGGCACGAGAAGCTCAACGTGATGATGGAGATCGACCGGCTCCAGGGCTTGAAGCGGCAGGAAGAAGTCGCCGAGGCGAAGCGACTCAAGCGCATCCGGGACCGTGAAGTGCTCGAAGACCAGATCCGCGAACGCAAGCTGGCGAAGGAGGCCGAGCAAAAGGCGATCGAGAAGGAAGCCGAGGAGATGCTGCAGAAGATCCGCGACGCGCAGCGCGACGACGAGCGCAAGGAGAAAGAAAAGTTCGAGCGCGCGAACCGGTCGATGGAAGAGATCAAGCGCTTCAACGAGTCGGCCATGGCCCGGAAAGCCGACCAAGCGCGGCTGCTGGCGCTCGAAGAAGAAAAGGTCGTCGCCTACCAGCGCAAGAAGGCCGAGGACGCCCGCTTGCGCGAGGAAGACGAGGCCCGGAAGCGCCACGAGGCCGAGTTGCGCTGTGCGAAACTGCGCTCGACCCAAGAAAAAGCCGCGAATGAAAAAGCGCAGCTCGACGAGCTCCGCGCCAAGCGGGCGGCCGAGCGCGCGAGCGGGCGGCGCGTGACGCCGACGTGGCCCGTGAGATCAAGGCCCGCAAGGAAGCGGAGGAGCTCCGGATTTCGCGCGAAGCCCAGGCCATGCACCGCCAGCGCTCCAAGGTCCAAGAAGCCCTCCAGCAAAAACAAGAATACGAAAACATCATCACTCAAGTCGACTGGCAGAAGAAGCAATTCCAAGACAAGGAGGCCGCGGACGCGACCAAGCGCTCGAGCCACCGCATTGCGCTTCAGAAGCAAATCGAAGACAAGCAAAAGCTCGCGAAAGACAAGTTTGTCCGAGTGCAGCTCGAAGGCAAGGCGCTCAAACAAGAATACGCCGACGAGCTTGCGAAGCTCGAGCGCATTCGCATCGAAGAGGTCGCCGAGCTTGAAGAAGCCGGCGTGAACCCGTCGTACCTCTCGGAAATGAAGGCCCTTGACATTGCCAAGGCGCGCGACCGTTAAATCCAACAACACAAACAAAGACGTCTGGATGGATTGTACTCGATAGCGCTTGCATGTGTGGAGGTGGGACCACCTATTGCCGCCACGTCGACGACGCGTGTCGTCTGGCTGTGTTGCAGCTGTTGGCCAAGATGGACAGTCAGCCGTGTGCACTTTGAGAGGCGGCAAGTGCACTTTGAGCGGCGGCGTCTGTGCAGAGGGGGCTCAAAGAGAGCACACGCGATCGATCGCCGTGCCCACGTCGGAACGTCACCGCCGCGTCCTTCTCCGCCGTCCACGGCACGACGTCGGAATGTCGGGCAACACGTCGTGGATCGGTGCTTGCTACTGCACAAGTCTCACAAGCCAGCACCGTTCACACCGATAGCATGGCTATATAGTGATACATTGATACATGAATGCCAATTCATCCAACTCACTGACAGTCGGCTGCGCCAAATACAATGTGGTCTTGCTTATACGAGTGTTGTTTCGAACCCAATGATGCCGACGATCGGCCCAAAGGTGACCACCGACTCGGCGGCGGCCTGCCCCAACGTCTCCAAGTACTTGAGCACCTTCTTCCGACCGAGCAGCGTCGCGACGTCATGGACGTTTGGCGTCCATTTGAAGCCGTCGACTTCGCACAAGTGCATCAGCATGTGCACCTGCCGTTGCAGCACGGCGTGCACGAGCATGAGCTCTTGCGTCCGCGGCCGAGCGTCGACGGAAACGACGGTGCGCAGCTGACCGAGGAACGCGAGACTTCCGCTCCTCGCGGCGCACACAAAGAGCCGCTGCAGGTCGTCGTCGTCGGCTTCAATCTGCATGTGCGACAGCAGATACGATGCCAGATCCATGCGGCGTTGCGAGCTCGCCGTGCAGAGGTGATGCACCGTGCAGCCTCGACCATGCTCGGCGACAAGGAAGCGCACAATATCAGCATGCCCATGCGCGACCGCAGCGTCCATCGTCGTCGTCGTCACCTCAGCACCCTGGTCAATGAGCAGCTCCAGGATCGCCAGATGGCCTTGGCTCGCAGCGGCGTCGACTGGACGCGTGCGAACGAAGGTGCTCCGGAAACAGCCCAGCAGATGGTCGTAGATGCATTCGTTCGTGTCGTACGTAGACTCGTCTGCCTCATCCTCTTCAACGTGGCCATTGCCGCCCAAGAGGAGGTACCGGACGAGGCGGCGATGGCCCGTGTGGGCGGCCGTGGCCAGTGCTGTCTGTGACACTGGCACGTGCCACACCTCGCAAAGATACCGCGCGACATCGAGATGGCCATGCACACACGCCCACGCAAGTGCTTCGCTCATGACGCCATCGTTTTGGAAGCGAGACAGCCAGTGGAGAACATGCAGATGGCCGTTCAAGGCCGCGTACTCAAGCGCCTGGACCGTCACATGGCCCAAATGGCTTCCGTGCAGGCGCTGCATCGTGTCGAGATCACCGTAGAAGGCGGCGACGGCCATCGTGGCACCGTCGTCGTGCAGTGCCGGGTGCGTCGTTGCGGCCGCGTCGAGAGCTGGGAAGACAAACCACGCGTCGGTCGTCGCAGACATGGCGTCCTGGGGCGGCGCAGCTTCGAGCGCGGTGTGGTCGAGGACAAAGCGGATCATGGCCGGGTCACGACTGGCGATGGCTGCGTGGAGTACATTGGTTGTCATTGCAGGCCAATACCCGATGGCGTACAACGTCTCGAGAGCGGCCAGCGAACGTACCACAGGCAGTAGCGCTGACTCGGAAAGAAGCGTTTTGGACGATGCGAGGACGATTGCCTCCAAGTGTGACGTGCCAACAACGTTGTGTGTCTTGATCTCGACGTATGGCACCCGGTAGAAGAGCGACGGTGCCACCCGTCCGACGCAGTGTTCGAGGAGATAGCGAAAAATGGGTGCGTGGCCGTTGGCGACAGCGGCCGTGGGCGCAACGATCGTGCAGCCTTCGTATCTCGCTTCATGTAGAAAGACGACGACGTCCAAGTGCCCGTTCATGGCTGCACCGTCCATCGCGTCGGTGGTGCAGATCGCGCCGGCCTCGTGCAGCGAATGCAAGAGTGAGAGGTCGCCCGCCATGGCCACAAGGTCCATCATCTTGGCCGTCACAAGCTCGGGATACCGCGCAAGAAGCAGTCGCAGAATCGCACTTTGGGACGACGCCGCCGCGAGCTCGAGCGTGCCTGATGTGACGAGCGCTGGCTTGTGTCGAAGCCACTGCTCGATGATCGCCATATTGCCTTCGACGACGCAGAGGTGCAGCGCCAAGGCCGGATCGACCTTGATCGGCGACACAAAGAGCGCATGGTTGGAGAGATTGGTCGTGGCGGAGTACCGCTGGAGGTACGGCAGTGCTGCAAATCGCATCGGGAGGTTGGAGAGATGCCCCGTTGTCGGTATCATGCGGTAGCTGGCGACGCTGGGCGTGAGATCGATGGCATCTGCGATCCACTGGACTTCGGCGAGCGCTTCCGGCAGTCCTTCTTGATAGCCGACAATGGTCGTAAGCAGATCCGACGATCGGAGCACCGCTGTCGCTGCCATCGTCCTTTCTGACTGGTATCCGGATAATGCGGCGCTGTGCCAGAAGATGGTCCTGGGGCGACAAATTGAGAGGTCCGAGGACAAAAAGAGTGCTTCCTGGCAAACGCTCGTAGTCGTGTGTCGAGTGACAACGTTGGATTAAAATTTTACGTGGAATTGACAAGAACCTATGGGATATATTAGTAGAAGGACCTTCATCAAAGGCGTATTGGCACATTGGACATCCTGGAAGCGTGGTCATGCATGAACGGTCCAACATTGGATAGTACAGCTATCCAACGATGGCGTATCCATCTCACCGGGTGGAATGCTAGCGTGTGGTAGATGCAGTAGTTTATTGTATGCCGGCTCCCTTGATAAAGTTCGTTGATTCATTATTCAGGCGATGACTGATTGCGAAGGGCCCATGATCTCGTCGGCCAAGATCGCAATCGACCGTCACTCACATTTGATTAGCGCATGCATTCTCGTAAAATACCCTTTTTTGTCTGCATCCTGGGCTCAGAGGCAATTTTGATTCAGCGCCGGAGGAGTTTTGATCTCGCTGCATCCTGTCTTCCTGTTGCAAGACCAATGCGTTGTTTTTAGATAATCATTGAGATCGATAATATATAGCTATAGTCGACGACTGCTATTAGAAAGCAAACGCAGTATGCAAGCGTTCAATTTAGTCGTCCCCTTTGGCAAAATGTGCGAGTACGTGGCGGCACTGCTGCTCGAGGGTCATGGCTTGGATGTCAAACAGGAGGGAGGACGAGACGAGCAACCAGTGCCGAGTGAGCTGGGCGCTGACGCGCAAGTCACTAAAAAGTCGCATCTCGGTTTGCACGGCGTGAATGGCTCCTTCCAGCGCGGCCTCGATTGCTGTGATATGGCGGGTAGCGTCTTGAGCAGCGCGCGCGTTTTTCAATCTGCTTGTTCAGCTCCTCGCGCACTGAAGCATGGCGCCATCGGGCCAAGAGGTGCGACGCACCGACACTGGCGCTGAGAAGCACTCCGCACGTCGCTGCCATGGGCGCCGCCTCGACACGCGAGATGACCGCCGTCGCGCTCAAAGCCACCACGGCGTTCTTCGCACTGGTCCGACGCTGTGCCATCGAGAGCTGTCGACGGCCGCGTTCCTGATGGTCAAGCAATCTGGCACCAGCACAGCGGAGGTTTTTCTCGAGTGGACGTACCAGCTGAAGCGTCGCCAACAAGTGCTCCAGGACTGTGTCGAGACGGGTCAACGAGGTAGCCTCGTCGAGCGCACGGAGAAGAAGGCTCGATGACGTGGCATGCTTGACGTCGTCATCAGCATGGACGGCGTGTTGGAGTAGAGGCCCTAGTAGGCGGCACGACTCGAGACTGTCGAGCGCAGCGTTTTCGTACAAGTGCTTTGCGCGGTGTAAATGAGATCGCATGGTCTCCATTGACTCGTTCTTGGTGCTTTGAAACACCATGAGCACCCAGATTGCCATCGAGGTCCATGCGTCATCAATCGACGACCAGATCGTATCATCGGGCGGCATGTTGCCTGGAAGACGGTCGTCAATGGGCAGCATTGGCATGCGAACCGTGTACTCCATTTGTGACAATGTAGATGGACCCGCTACGTTCTTGCCTGTCGGAGCCATATTTCAGAATAAAATGTGGCGACAGACCAGGTCGAGCGCGTTGCTGTTGATGCGAATATAGACCAAGAGGACGATGGTCTGTCAAAATCTCACTTCAGCAACCGCGTCACAATCAAAAATTCCATCCCTCTCTGTCACATACATACATACTTCTGCTTTCAACGAGCGAGGTGTCCTCTCATTGACGGACGACAAGGCGCTTACATGCTGTCGGCCTTGAATGTGGCACAGTATGGCTGCTTGTGGCGTATGCCACAAACAAAACTTTGACGACCCGTATTTCCTGCTGTATGCCGCTGACGAGCACGTCACGTAGCTTTTCGTGCTCCCCAATGCGAGATCTATCTTTGGGCGCAGCGTCGTCGATTTTATTTTCCACTCGATTCCGACGCCCGCGCCGCCTCGGCGAGCATTCGCGTGCAACCATCTCCGCTCTCATTGGTCTAAAATACAGGAAAAATAGACCAATGCGATGTATTTAAACGTTTTATTATATTATATCGTGTTTATTATGGTATTTTGCGCTATAAAAAACATCGATGTCTCGCAATGTGATCTATCAAAACGCAACGTTTGGGCTATCAAGGTCCGGTCCACACCATTGTTATAATCGGGAATGACGTGTGCTTCGTCTGGTCAGCCAACGTTAACACTTGCCCTTTCCGGATACGACAGCAAAACTACACACTAAAAATGGGAGCGTCCGGAGCAACTCTTGGCTGAGGCAATGACATGGTCCTGCAGCCAAGTTCCGCCGACCACGGGGCACCTTGTCAGCTGGGCACCTTGTACCTCATTCAACATAATACATTGCTCTATCTCTACCCCAGCTGTCCCACCCCAACGCCCTCAACCAGCCCACCTAAAGTCGATCTTGTTGTAACCCTAACCTCACAGAAACGACGATGCGCGCACGATCCTAGAGGCGCGCATGGTGGTATTTTTACGCTACGGGTACCGCTTGGCGATCCATGCAAGGAGCCACTTGAGGTGCGTGAGCAAGTACTTGAGTGCGCGCGTCCACTGCTCGTCGTTGCCGCCGACGGAGATGGCAAGCTCGCCGATCTTGCCCTTGTAAATCTTGTACGGAAAGCGCAGCGACGGCTCTTCGCGCATGGCGCGGACACCGGCTTCGTCGACGCACTCGAGGAAGAAGACGAGCGCTTGGTTGAACTTTTGCCGCTGAAAAAAGCTCCCGTCCGAGTACAGCGGGTACTCCTTGCGCTTGTCTTTCGACGGCGCCGTGAGCATCTTGGAGTAGCTGCCTCGCGCGACGGGCGTGTGGCGTGCAAAGTTGAGGTTCGCGCGGCTCGCGACGGTCGCCAACAGCAGCGTGGCTTGGCCGAGCGCCGCGTTGATCTCGGCCCACTCGACGGGCTTGCTCGGGAGGCGCCCGAGCCGGAGACCGTTGATCGTCCCAAACGAGCCTTCGTGCCAAATGTGAAAGGTGTCGTTAAAGACGTTGTAGCGCTGGAGGCACCGGAGGACGTCCGACGCATGGACCGCAAACGTCGACACGGACGACCGCTCTTCTTTTGTGCTCGTATGTAACAG